GAGCTAGAAGCTCTCATCCCCAGCAGATACAAAGGATTTGACCAGATAGATCAACACCTAAATTCTGGGGGTAGTAATGTGTTTCTTGGAAGTTTATCCTAAACTCTTCAGGCCTCTTGTAACATAACTTGGTTTCTGACTTATATCACATGCTTGTCTGACTTAGTGCAGGGCCACACCCCCAGTGATGTTCCATTCCCCCCAAAGCCTCTCCCGAACCATTTTCCTATTCAAAAATCACCTCTTCCAAACAGTATCAAGTTGCCACAGCCAACTGCATGCTCGGCTGAAAATGGAACCTGTTTCATTAATTCTGTATGCTGAAGTTAACCAGGCAGCTGAAAATAATGTCTCTCTAAGCTTAGCTACAGTTTCATATGAAAATTGTAATAGGGATTGTCTTTACCAGGATACTTAACAAAAGCAATGTTTTATTAAAGAATGTAGGTGATTTGTGTACACCTATTTTGCTTATTAAGCACATCTGTTGTATTCTATGAATGAGACTGAAGTTTTTATGGTCAATTCAAGAGGGAAGTCTATCAATGTAGAAATATGGAATAGTTATTCTGGTTATTCATGGCTAAAACCATCACACAGAGTAATTTCTAGTGACATCAGAGCTAGTTGCCACCACTATTTTCTTTCCCCCCTTTTCCTGAGAGGTGGCACCCTTCCCTACTCAGCGATTCCTCAGTCAAAACAAGCTCTCTAGCCCTTTCATTCCTCAGTCCCTCAGCCCAGCAGACACTGTAAGATCAGAAGGGAGAGAGGTTTACCCATTTGGAAAGGGTGCTTAATACCTTGTGTGGAGGAGTAAATGAAGAATCTTTCTTTCTACATGCCAATAATAATAAACGGAAACTAACCCAGTCCCTCATTTGCTTCTTTCCCCAATTCTAATCCCTTAGCTTTGTCCATTTATAATACTGTAACAATGATTTTCCTTGCCCCTTTTTAAGAAATGGGAAGCTAGGTGAAACCGTTCTATTTATTTTCAATAGGCTATACATTTTTGTCTCCCGTTGATTCTGCTAAGTTGTGTAGCTATTTGTGTGTAATAGGCTCTTCCATCTCCATATGCAGCAGAAAATCCCTTTTGACAAACCATAGCAAGCTTAATTGAGTCATGACGTTTGTCACTAAATAGCTTCCAATGAGGCAAGCAGGATTTTTCCTAAGGTAGCATATGTTTTCTCCAAGTTTCCAGACTATATAATGTCACATGAGTAAGGAAATTACTTTCCTCATTTGTGAAAAGTTACAGAAAGGTATGCCAGTAATATTTGAGTGAGCTAATTAAACTTTAAAGAGATATAAGCTTGATCAGGTGGTTTTCTTCCTGATTTAGTAAAGCTTATTTTTTTTTTTAATTTTAGTATTGAATTACAGGTGATTTTTTTTTAAAGATTTATTTTATTTATTTATACAGAACGAGGGTACAGGCCAGATATGCGGAGGGTGAGAGGATTCACCAGAGACAGAGCCGGGAGCAGTACAGGCAGATCAACGAAGTACACTGCTGAGGGGAGCAGCAGGCGGGTCAAGAGAGGTCTGCCGCACCATGTGGTCACCTCCGGGGCAGGTGGGAATCGAACTCATGCGGAAGTGGCTTTAGCTTCTTAGTGTAGTGCTTTAACCCGCTGCACCACCAGGGAGGGCTGAATTACAGGTGATTTTAAAAAATTTGTTCTTTTACTCTATTGTTTAACCATTCCCTAATGAGATTCCCAAATCAATTCATTTTACATTTTTGTTTTACTTTAAATGACACCCAGTAAGAAATATTAATAGAAACTCTTCTGTCAAGATAGCATTTCTGATTCTTTCCCACTGACTTTGCAGCCTGAAGCCATCTCAAATCCTGACATTACTTTTAATGTTCTCAGGACAGATGCTCTTAGGGCTTCCAGCACAAGAGTAGATTATTAGCAGACATTAGTTAACTTGTGAACCTTCACCTGAATATCCTTTGGATACTCATGGGATCTGAGTGACAGAATAGAGTCAATGTCATGATGCCTAAAGAGTAGTATCAGTAATGGGCATCACCCTTACTTGCCTCCCCAATGCAGCAATAAGGCAAGGGAAGAGATTGTAAACCATTGATTTGAACCATATAAATGGGTTGAAAATAAATCGTGCTGTCTGCTGCATTTCTCCCCCAAAGCCAGATTTACCTAACACATAATACAAGTAATCCCATTCAACTGCTTCAAAGGACTTCTTGGCATCTAGTAATATTGTTGTGACTGGTTCCAATTTTCTCTTTGTATTCCAGATGAGTTGCATTAACCTACGCAGACTATCTGATGCTCATTTCCCAGGCATAAAGCACCCTCTGATAAGGGTCTATTAGATTTGGGATTACTTTTTCAGTCATGTAGCAAGTGTTCTGTTATCTATTCTTTCATAAATTATATAAAAGGATGTTTTTCACAATACTATAAAAAGGTAACATGCAATCTTGAATATAAGGCTATATGAATACATGGAATAGGAGAAAGGACTATAGGCTGCCTGTTTCCAAACCACAGATACTATCTGATGCTTTAAAATTTCAGTACAAACCATTTAAATAAATGCCTTACAAATGTTTATTCAGTTGTTTTTTTTTTTTTCCTGATACTAGTGGCCATTCAATATACTGATGACAGAGAGAAGTTAATGTGTTGGTAAACAACCTACACTTTTATAAAGCTATTTTGAAAGTGCTCAATGTCATAGAAAGTAGCCTTAATTACTTCTTGTTTTTCAGTTGACATTGTAAAGTTGCTTCCAGTTTTGATTCCTCAGCCTTTGCAAAGGAAAGGAAGGCAGAAGGCACCTCCATGGGAGATTTCGAAGTACTGCAAATATAAGAACTCTTCTGAAAACAAACCCTGAAATGTTTTGAAGGCTTATCCTGTCTTTGATGCATAGGGAGTTGCGCACAAGAAGAAAACTGAGTGGTGGAACAGAGAGTGGTGGAGCAGCAGAGAGCCAGCTGATAACCTTGAGATTTCCTATAATCTATGTCCTGTCCTGGGAGACAACCCAGAGTATGGAGAAGGGCCTGGTGTTTGCTGAGTTTGAGTGTTGGCTCCACCCTTTCCTTACCAGGGTAGCACAGGAATGATATAAAGCACTGAACTTGTGTTTCCTCTTTCATAAAAGGAACTTAACAATGCTCACTCCTGGAGTTATTCTGAAGATCAAGAAAAGTAACACAAGGAATTTAAGCAAATATTTAATGCTCAATGATTTTTCTAATGATAAAAGAGAACTATGATATCCATATGAACATTTTTCAGTATGGAAGTGTCTAACCCAGTGGCATACAAAGTATTTAGATTAGGCTTCCTGGTGCTCTGCTGGGAAGATAATGACATTCAACAATGATTAATGATTAACCTATGCAGAACAAATGGACTTTTTATACTATAGCATCTAGTAACAATGGCATTTTAATCTAAAAACAAAAAACCAGGGGGGCTCCCTCGTAGTGCAAGGGGTTAAGTCTCAGCACTATGAAGCTATGAGTAGCCATTGCATCATGACTTCAATCCCCATAGAGCAGCAGACCTCTTCTATCTCACCTGATGCTCCCCTTAGGTGTATTGCTGTCACTCCACTTCTTCTGTTCTCCACTCTGTCCCTGATGGATCCTCTCACCCCCACCCTACCCCCCCCACACACACCCCAGCTCTTGTAAATGTAAATAAATAAAATATTAAAAAAAAAACAACAGTAACTACAACATAATAATAAACAAAATAAAAAATTTTACATTATCAATCTTCTGAATTAACATACTTATGGGTGATTGGGCTGAAGAGATCTGCTTTCTTTAAATGTATCAGTTGGTATAAAGGGGATAAAACAGTTAATGGAATGAAGGTACAAAAAAAAGCATTCTTCTGAGGACATTCTGAGAACTCAGTTATATGTGCTTGCAAAACAAAAAAGTTAACGAGCAAATAAGCTCTAGTTTAAATGCTCAGAATGTAATAAACAATTCAAAAGGATTCAGCTTCAGCAAAATTTTGTATTTCTATACTCAGTTTTTTTTAAGATAATTTCAAAATAAATAAAATCTTTTGAAGTATGCTGCATAATTTTTCCTAAAAGGTGGAAAATATGTTAGGACGCTAAGTGAAGCAATTTCCTGAGAAAAATACACGATTTGAACCTAAAGCTAAAAACCTAAGGACATATACCACTGAATTGCATACAATATGCCCAGGAAATATGTAAACAGGAGCAGTGACTTAGCAAATAATGCCAGGTTTTGGTAACAGTAGAATCTACACTCACTAGGTATTATCTCCCTCTGTGCATTAATATGTGATATCACACTCTCATATAACATTTCATAACAGACTGAAATAAAAAGCCCCTCCAGATTGCAACCGTAAGATAATCAGATTCTGTAGTGCTCATTATGGCTGCAATTATGTAACAAAACTCTCCAAATATAGTTCAGTTATTGCAGTTATTAATCATTCTGCTTTTGTTTCAAGTACTTGCTTTATAGCTTGCTGGATAGACTCCATTATTCTAGAAGCTGAATGTCGAAAGTCAAACATGTGCATGTGAATCTGCTGTTCTAACGGCTTTTCAACATAATTTACCCTTTCTATTTGTATTTGTGAATACAACAAAAAAGTGGCAAAATAAAGCTGGTGTCAATAGAGTCACTGACCTTTGCAGTAAACAGAAGACAGTCCTTACCGGAAAACAACTTGGCAAATAAGAAACCTATTTTGCTAGAACTAGTAATAGTGCTGCTTAAGAAGTGAGCCTCAGAATGGCAATCAGCTCTTATAGAAAAAGGGCAGAAAAAAACCCTGAGAGAAACATCCTATTTGATAAGGAGCAAAAGTGATAAGAGAGTTGGCAAGTATGCATTTTTAAAGGTTCAAAGACTCATCAGCTGAATAGAATGCCATTCTAAACATTTTTTTTTTTGCATAAGACCGTGCAGTCTGATTAATTTAACTACAAAATGCCAAGTAAAAGACAGCAGATTTATTATACAGAACAAACACCATCTGTACCACCTTAAATCATTGCTATATTTTTCTCAAAAAAAAATTTCACCTGGAAAATTTTCAAGTCCACATTCCAACATGGTAGCGTATTCATTAAGGAAGGTTGCAAAAGGCTCAGGGCAAGGGCCTCCATAGTTATTTAAATCTTAAACTAGAGAGAGCCTTGAAAATAAATTTAATAATACGATGACATGGTTTACAAAATGCATGTTACCAATTTCACGTAGTCCATGATTTTTGCAATTTGGCTACATACATTGGGCCCCAGGCTTTGCCCTTGTCTGGAATCACCAAGAGTCCATATTCCTGGGCAGTGGGAGCAAATGTGAAGTCTTGGGAGCAAGTCCTTGCTATTTCCTGAATGTCCACAGGCACGATGTTATTGTAGGAGTTTAAAATTTCATTGATCACATCTTGATTTTCTGCCTTGGAAAGTGTGCATGTAGAATACACAAGTAACCCTCCAGGACGTAAGGCCTTAATTGCAGACCTGAATGTAATCAGGAAAATGCAGAAGCTTGGTTAGGTACATTAACAAGAAAAAAAAAAAAAAAGATGAAGTCTTGTGCAAGGAAATTTCAAAACTTGAAACCAGCCTCTGACTCAGATTATTACTAACTTTGGATGGTTGTAGACTTATAGACATTTCTTTCTACCCTCTTTTTATTGAATCAGATTTCCTATTGGTCATTCCTATACACACATATATATCCACATGTATTTTTTGTCTGGAGTTGTTTCACATCTCAATGTGTGTATGTGCTTCACTCACCTGACACCCAGTTCCTACTGCCATCACAGATCAAACTGCCCCCCTTTACCAGTGCCCCCACCCCCTTGCAATGACCTCCTTGGTGATGACTGCATTCTTCAGAGTCAAATTATTTTTGTTGTATTTTGCCAGTGTGTTTGGTTAGGTTATTCATATTCAATATGAGAAACCATCAGCATTTGTCACTTTTGGAAGTAGTATAGTTACTGCAAAGTAATTACTTGTGTTGTCATAAAAGGTAAGATTCCATGCGCTTTTACAGCTGAGCAGTATTCCATAGGTTAAATATACCACAGCTTCTTTATTCAGTCATCAGTCAATGGGCGAATATTTAGGTTGGTTCTGCCTTAGGCTACTGCGAATAGTGCTGCTATGAACACTGGGGTAAGTATATATTTTGGACTAATTCAACTATTTCTTTTTATTGTACCCCTCTATGACTAAGAACATGGGAGTCAGATCAGTCAATATGGGCAAGACAGAATGTGTTTTACCGCTTTGTTGTTTTGTTCACTAAAGGACAGGAGGAAGGAGGGCGGCATGGAATGGTGGACTTGTCTCTGATTACACTGAGTGGTGTTAATGTATGCAGGAAGGAGAATCAGCACTTCAGCAAAAGGGTCAGGGATTAGAAACTTTTAAATTATGGGAATAACTAGGATTTCCCAGGAAAAGTAGAAGACAGAAAGGAAGACTAAGCACAGACACTGAAAAATGCTTGTATTTTAAAGGAGGTCGAGCTTAATAAAGGAATTTAAGGTGGCTTCACAGATGAGAGAGTAGCTTCAGGGAAAAAGTGGGAAGCAATCAGGTTTGGTTTTGTTTTTAATGAGGAGACTTGAATATATTTGTAAAAGAAAGTCCAGGAGAATAATAATCCCAAGCAAACTTCAAATGGAGGAAATAGCTTCAGAAAGCTGGGATCAGAAAGGTGGGATTCCAGCTCTAGATGGGAAGCCACATGGACAACAGACCGGGAACAAAGGTGTTTGACGGCAGATGCCAGTTCCTGATAAACAGCCCCAGTATTTACAATGTAGCAGGAATGAAGGTCATCTACTGTGAGAAAACCTGAGTATTTTAACTCTTGCTGTTACAGTGATAACCCCAAAACAATTACTAATCAAAAACTTGTTTTTCAAGAAATCAGGTTTTAGAACATACCAGATTTAAGAGTACATTCAGTCCCATATCTCACATCTATGGCTAAAGAACTAGAGAACATTCTAATAACTGAAGTTTATAATAATGATCCACATCATCACAGTAAGTTGAAATCCTGTTCTCTACTATCAATTTTTTTTTAAAGATTTATTTATTTGTTCATACAGAACTGGGGTACAGGCCAGAGATGCAGAGGCTGAGAGGATTCACCAGAGACAGAGTGGGGAGCAGAACAGGCAGATGGACGAAGTACACTGCTGATGGCAGCAGCGGGCGGGCCAGGAGAGGTCTGCCTCGCCATGTGGATTTCCTCCGGGGCAGGCGGGGATCGAACTCATGCGGAAGTGGCTTAAGCTTCTTAGTGCTGTGCTTTAGCCTGCTGCGCCACCAGGGAGGGCCCCTCTACTATCAATTATTAAAGGAATGAATAATTCTAATTTAAGACAAGCAAATGGGTAAAAAACCTCTGTTCTTAGAAACCCTTTAACATGGTGGTTCAAAAATTATTTGTAAGTACTAAAAACAATAAAGCAAGCAGGACAGAAAAAAATTTATATTAACAATGGATTTCAACACATTTCTGAAAGACAGTATGCAGGCAGAGGAGGAATAGTGGATCAAGAAGATGGAGAAGGGCCCTCCCTGGTGCAAAAGTGGAATAAAACACAACTCTAAGATGCCAACTGCCACTTCAGCACATGTTCTATCCCTGGCTGGGGAGCTAACTCACATGGCACGGCAGACCTTTCCTGAGCGGCTGCTGCTCCCCCTCAGCAGTGTACTGCAGTAGATCTGCCTGTTCTGCTCCCCGCTGTCTCTGGTGAATCCTCTCACCCTCCGTATCTCTGGCCTGTACTCCAGTTCTGTATGAATAAATAAAAAATAAAAAAAAAAAAAAAAAAAAGAAGTCATTGCTATTTCTCTTCTACCATTATATGGGTCTATACAATGTTATTCTTAGTTCCTGAGTAACTTAATGGGAAA